TGATCTTCATCAGTAGGTATTTTATGTTTTCTTCACTTCTATCAACCAAGGCTATGTCTTCTGCATAGCTCAGGTTGTTGATTAGTCTTCCTCTAATTCAGAGATCACGCTCACTCTTCTTCATATAATCCAGCTTCTGGCATTATTTGCTCAGTATACAGATTGAATAAGTATAGTGAAAGGATACAACCCTGGTGCACACCTTTCCTGATCTTGAACCATTCAGTATCCCCTTGTTCCATTCTAACAACTATCTCTTCATCTGTGTACAAGTTCCTCATGAATACAATTAAGTGTTCTGGAATAACCATTCTTCACCATAATATCCATGGTTTACTATGATCCACACAGACAAATGCCTTTGCATAGTCAATCAAGCACAAGTAAACATTTTTCTGACATTTTCTGCTTTTAGCCAAGAGCTAGCTAATGTCAACAATGATATCACTCATTCTACATCCTCTTCTGAATGTAGCTTGAATTTCAGGTAGCTCCTTATCAATATACTGTTGCAGCCATTTTACAATTATCTTCAGCAAAATTTTACTTTTAGCTGAAGATAAATGTAAAAGATTAATGATATTGTTCAGTAATTTCCACATTCTGTTGGGTCACCTCTCTTTGGAATGGGCACAAATATGGATCTCTTCCAATTGGTTGGCCAGGTAGCTGTCTTCCAGCTTTCTTGGCATAGAGAGTGAGTGCCACCAGCACTGTATCAGATTGTTAAAACAGTTCTATATGTATTCCATCAATTCCTGGAGCCTGGTTTTCACTCATGCCTTTGGTGCAGCTTGGACTTCTTTCAGTAACAAGTATCTGTTCTTGACCATATGTTACCTCCTGAAATGGGTGCATGTCAACCAACTCTTTCAGGTACACAGTGACTCTGTGTATTCCTTTCATCTTCTTTGGATACTTTCTGCATCATTCAATAGTTTGCCCATAGAATCCTTCAGTATTTCAAGTTAAGGGTTGAATTTTTACTTTAGTTGAAATGCTGAGCATGTCCTTCCCTTTTGGTTTTTCTAACTCCAGGTCTTTGCACATTCCATTACAATACTTTACTTTGTCTCCTCAAGCTGCCCTTTGAAATTACTTGTTCAGATCTTTTGCTTCTTCATTTGTTTCAGTTGCTTTAGCTACTCTATGCTCAAGAGTAAGTTTCAGATTCTCTTCTAACATCCATTATGGTTTTTTCTTTCTTCCTTTTCTTCTTAATGACCTTTTTGGTTTCTTCCTGTATGATGTTCTTAATCATCCCACAGCTTTCTGGTCTTTGGTCTTTAGTGTCTAATACTTCAAATCTGTTCTTGAGATGATCTCTACATTCAGGTGGGATATGTTCAAAGTCAAATATTTGCTCTACTGGTCTTATGTCAATTTTCTTCAGCTTCAGCCTGAATGTATATGTGAGCAATTGATGGTCTATTCCACAGTCTGTCCCTGGCCTTCTTTGGGCTGATGATATGGAGTTTTTCCACCATCTCGTCCTACAGACGTAATCAATTTGATTTCTGTGTACTTCATTTGCTGAGGTCCACATATATAGTCATCATTTATGTTGTTGAAAAAGGTATTTACAATGACTAAGTCATTGATCTTGTAAAATTCTATCATGCGATCTCCAGAATCATTTCTATCACTGAAGCCCTATTTTCCAACTGTTTTAAGCTCTGTTCACTTTCAGCAAGCAAGGTTATATCATCTGCATATTTTAGGTTGTTAATGAGTCTTCCTCCAATCCTGATGCCACATTTTTCTTCATATAATCAAGATTCTAGGATTATTTGCTCAGCATACAGGTTAAATAAGTATGGTGAAAGAATACAACCTTGTGGCACACCTTTTTTAATTTTAAAACATTCAGTGTT